ATACATCATGTAAAGGTACAAGATCCCAGTGATGAATGTAACTGTATTTCATACCTAAAATGTACCAATAAACTTAATGGAAAAATAAAGAATGTAAAGGAATTGATTTGAATATTGAGAATTGGTGTTTTAAATCCACATTCCATTCCAAACCTTAACCAATACTTCATAAACAAAACAGAATAATCATATAGCTTTCATACAGCAACCATTATAAAATCATCAATGTGACAGTCTTCTTTCAGTACAATTAATACAGAATTATTAAAAAATAACTTAGTTTGATGTTTTGAGAACAAAGAAAACAAAATCCAGTGACTTTACTTTTGTATCATGGTCAATGGATGGAGTCCTGGATGTGTCATGACTCCTGGATGGAGTCATTATACTCTAACTAAAAAATCTCGTATGAAGTTTTCAATGGTATCTGATCTTTGACAGAAATCAAGCACATTTAGTATATGAATTAAGGTTATAAAGTAAGATTAAAAACTGGAGTCAGAGTTTTGACACCTTTTCATGAACCATTATTTTAGAGAGTTCTAAAACTTTTCATCAATTGAATATAAGTGATATTTTGGTTTGTGCTATATTTTTTTTCAAAGCATGACAGATTGTCATAACTCTTGCTCAAACTTGGAGTATTAGTGACATATATAAAGATGTAAAATCCACCAACTGGTCATGAGGAAATACACTGAAAATTAAACTACTGGAACCCGTAGGAATTTCCCGTACATAATATTTAAAGCAAGTGGCGACACACAAAACAAGTACAAAATCTATTATACCACAATATAAAGCTCAAAAACAGACTAAATAAGTCATAGTATTAGAACTCAGGAAAGGGGTTACGTTGTGAAGAGCTGGAATTTGAAACTTCAGAAGAGGAAAGAGTATTTTCAGTGATGTTAATTACAATCTACTTCTTAATATGAATGATCTTTCACAGATCTATGGATACTGTAAAAATATGTGGAGCTGTTCACTTTTGATTTGTACATTGTTCTTAGACATATTTCAAAAATATTTACTTAGACTGTATGATTATTTCATATGTCAAAAACCAATTAAAATCATTATCATTCTGCTCAGTGTACTGGTCTTTTTGGACAATTGGACAATTGCTCAGCATTGGTAGTTTTCTTTGGTTAACAGAATTAATCAAAACTGTTTCAGAGAAACAAGTAAACTGGAATAAACCAATAACTGTAGAAGCATAAGTAATTAAAAAAATCTATAGCATCCAAAAATCATTATTTTCTAGGTTAATCATTGTGTCATCTTTATTTTAAAGAATAGATAATTCCCATGCCAAAGAAAAGAAAAACTCAGATCAGAGAAAACAGTTTGTAGAATGATCAAAATATATTCGCAAGCGCAAGGTCCTTAGTTTGATCCCCAGTACCAAAAAGAATGATCAAAATATTTCTCTCCTTCTTTATTTAATTAAATGTAACACAAGTAGATATTCAAAAAATGTAAAATATCTTTCTATTTATTACTTGAGCCATGTTTTTTCACTTGTGATTTTGAAATTACGTTTGCTTTTTAGAGCTTATTCTATTCCATTTTTAAAAAACAATTAACCAGTGTTGGGTTTCTGTTCTATACATTGGTAACTTTTTTTCTCTCCTTGTTACACCATTTATCCTTGCCCTCTGTAGTTGTGAATAAACTGAGTGCTTCCTCCAATTTCTTTCCAAAAATCTGATTCTGTTATCTCTTGTTTCTATTGTCAGATTAAATTTTTCCTTAAACTTTCCATTTCCTTTCGACTCTGTTTCAATTTATTAAGTCTCTAGGTTTTAATTTCTCAGTCATTCACTGCATATATAAGGATAGCCAACTATTTCCTAACATTTCTTTGCTGATTTCTATATCAATTCATTGTCCTACATATGTTTTCCTCTTGAGGATTTCATTTCCAACGTCAAATAATCATTGTTCAGGTCCATAGTTTGCTGGTCTTGTTGCTATCATTTGCTTACTGATCTGAGATTATAATAAAATCTGTAGACATGTAGTGTTTTACAATAGTCAACTGGTAAGACTGACTTTCAGCCCTTGTCTTGCTGATGACTTATTTTTTTCAGAGAGCTTTTAAGCTTCACCATTGAAGAACAGATTGTTACAAACAACCTTAGGCCCAAAATCAAGTAAGTGTCAGACATTCAAATAAGCAACTCCACTAGAATTGTTGGTAGACCAACTTCCTTTCCTGGTGTATATCCCCCTTACCTTGATTTGATGGAGTACTACACACACAGATAGAGATACACACACACACACACACACACACACACACACACACACACACGTTCTTTCAATAAGCTATACCCTTTATAGTCATTTTAAGATGCTTCACCACACTCTGCTAAGATGGTGAAAGTTCATATAAATTAATTGATTTCTGACACCTGTAACTATGGTAAAAAATTCAATTTTTCCCAAATATTTACTCACAATCAAAAGCTATGCCTGAACATCTGTGCATCATACTTTGACACAAATGCTAAAATAGTTATTAATAAAATAGCACATGTAAATATTTGGATCCATTTCAGTGGAACTAAGAAAGTCACAGAATCATCTTACAAAGTAAATTTTCACTGCTGACTCAATGTACATTTTACCTTGCGCCAAAAGTGTCAAAATTCTCTTTGATAGTTTCTGAAATAAACAAGTGAAATATATTTTGAAGCTTCTTTTACATAGTGGGAAGAAGTAGTTTATTTTCATTTCACATCAGGTCAAGATTCACTTTCAGCTCTTAAAATGATAAGTCTAATTATTCCTTGGAAACTGTCATGATCCAATCTTCTGAATAAAATTTAACTTCAAATTTTAAAGAATAAATATGTTGAAAAGAAAAAAATAAACTAAAAACATCTTGAAAATTTTGACAACATATATCAAATTTTAGAAATCTCAGTGTCTTGTAAATAAATTTAGCAGAAATCATTCTATAAATTTCCAATTGATTTTTCACTTTTTATGTCAATTGTTTCATGTAACTCTTTTAAGAGGTTGTGCCTTGTCATTTTTCTTTTACTGGTTTCATTTTAACAATTTAGCATTCAATCTTCTTTCCCCTTCGATCACAAAAGAGGATCTTGCTGTATGTTGAAGCCGCCTAGAGTAATAAGAGACCTGTGCTAGATGATGGTAGGTGTAAGGCTGAGTGTTAGGTTTGCTTCATAGAGCTCCATCAGGGCTATGTGATTTGCTCCCTGGTCTGCAGGCAAGTGTCAGTCTGCAGACAGTCATGGGTCTGTACCATGAGAAACAAGGAATTTGAGAAATATCATTAGAGAAACTTTTATAGAAATGTAGTACAGTTATTTTGTGTCTATAGAATAATTATAAATAAAAATAAAATGTGGATTTGTATATTTTCTCTCTTTTTTATCCTTCAATTTCTCTGGGAGTTATCTTTTAGTAATTTTACAGAAACATGCAGTCTGCAATGGATAAAATATATACCGAACGTCACCCACAGAAAATCTGAGAAATACTGAGCTCGAAGACCTCCAGTGAACTTCTCAGAAACTCAGTTTTTCCACCTGTAAAACTGAGAATAGTGATTCCTACTCAGTCAACTTGACAGGATAAATACTAAACAAAAGTATATATTTATGAAAAAAATCATACAACTATACAATTATAATATAACTTGTAATAATCATCTGGGAAGTAGCACAGCATCTCTGCTAAAAAAAAACTTGTCATATCTTGATATCTAGTAAATATTTTTGAGTTTATAAGTAAATACAAAAACAGAATCTCTGCCCCCAGACAGAACTGCACTCAAAAAGCTGTCTCGGGGAAGAGTGTGTACTGTACAGATAAGTCACATAATATGTTAACAGATTGTTCATCTGTTAATAAGAAGATAATTATAGCTACTAACTTTTAAGGTTGTAGTGAGGATTAAATAAAATAATACAGTGAAATATTTAGCATGTATTCCTTGACATGCTGCAAATATTCAATAAGAATTAATGTTATATGTTTTAGGTCTTCCATATGCCAAGGAAGCTACTAGAGTCTTTCTATAATGACAATTAATTCCCAGGAAATTAACAAATAACTATCACAACCTCAATTTTAAAATAAGGAAACTAAAATCTCAAAGAATATACACAACTTTCACAAAAATCACATAGCTTCTTCAAATCCATGTCTGTTTATAACAAAGTTAGTTATGTTTTTCCCACAGAAAATCACTTCCTAGAAGCTTTCCAAGTCATGAAAATAAATTTCATCAGCTAAATATTAGAAACACTGTCATTTTTAAATGTATAGACTATGAGGATTTTTTTTTGCATAGGAAGCACAACAAATATATTTCCTGACACATAGAAAAATAAATTTTGTCTCATTTTTCCACTTACCTGTTTGAATTTTTGGGCTCCTCATGCTGGTGGTGGCCACTTGCTGTGTTCCTTTCTGAGCCTCTTCTCATAACATTATTACTTGGCTGAAGAAAGAAAGAGAGAAAGAAAGAGAGAAAGGAAAGAAAGAAAGAAAGGAAGGAAGGAAGGAAGGTGGGAAGGAGGGAAGGAAGGAAGAGAAAGAGAGAGAAAGGTAGGTGATGCTTGCTTCAAGAAGGCCCTACATATATCACTGGCCATATAACAATAATCATTGACATTTAGAAAGTACCGGTTTTACAAAGCTACTGAAGAATACAATAGATATTAACCCAGTTCACATGTTTCAGGCTTTCCATTTTGGAGGCAAGTGTATTATTGTTTTTATGTTGGAATCTTTGGAACATGATAAAGTTCTATCATCCAGACATGCGGTAAATTACATTATTTTCTATTAAATAGGTGAATGATGCCCATGCTTAAATTCATTCAAATGTTTGAACTACATTGTGGTTCAATTGTATATGACAAAAGGGAATTTTTCATAATGCAGTTGTTCACAGAAGAGTAGAAAGCAGATCTGAAGTAAAAAGGACTTTTTTCTATGTCAGTATACCCTAGACTATTTCTTGAGCTTCAGTATTTAATAATTATTGGACAAATCTAAAACTCTAGGATAAAATAGTTATCAATTCATGCAATGAAATTAAACAATCAATTACAAGCTAGACTCTGCTTTTGGAGTAATTGCAAAGTTGTAAAAGGAAGTGAAATTTTCCAGTTTCCTTATCAATTTTTCTTCTTTACTTCTCATCTCCATCCCAACTTTCCCTTCTACAATCCACAAAAATAATAGTGAAGAATAAAGATGAGAGAGAAGATAGTTCCCAGAAAAGCAGAAGCTATTCTAGGCTAGTTTTCATTTACTCCAAAATAGTGTAATGAGGTGCAATGTTTTAAAATAATTAGAATATCAGTCACCTCCTTTCAAATGTCATATAGCAGATTTCCTACCTGACACTGCCACATTTGTGACCAATAATAGCAGCAATAATTATTTGTATTGCTTACAATGTATTAGAAGTTATACTTAGCATTTTATAGACATGATCTAAATTAATATTTGAACTCTATATGACAAGTGTTATTACCAGACTTATTTTTAAAGATGAGGAAAGTGAGGCAAAGTTTAAGTAAAGCATTGAAGATCCACTGCTGATAACAGAGTAGAATTTGAAAGCAAGCTCTTTTTCCCTGTTTTCACTGATCCCATTCTTGATCCTCTCTGTAATCCACTGCTCACAGGATTGGAATTTCATAGCATGAATCATCATTTTACTTCTTGCTTAAAATTCTTTGATGGATTTTTATTGCACCTGGAATAAAGCCCAAGCATCTTATTGTTGCCAACAAGTTCTGACATGAGCTGGATGCAACCTGTGTATGAAACACTATACTGAACAGTTTCATTTTTCTGTGTATTCTACTCCCAATAAGTCATAGTCTCTTGCAACTAAGAACTTTGCTTTGCTGAAAATAAATCCTGTAATTCTTTGTGATTGGGTTCTTTTCTACTTTCAAGATTCAGTTCAAATTCCCTTTTTCAGAGAGTGTGTGTGTGAGATGGTAACTCATTTAACTAATACATTTATCAACTAATGTTACCAGTTACAATTTTAGGCACTTACTAATAGCCAAATACTATATTAGTGCTTTGCATCTATTTCACTTACTTTTCATTTTAAAAATAAACAGTATGCTGAGTTTTTAGGTAGAGGAATTAATTCAAGTATTCATGTTTGAAAGTTGCAGAATTGAGATTCACCTTCAGGTATGGTCGGCCTTGTTTTGTAATCAAAGGAAAATTAATGATTTTAAAAGAGTCAAACATCTTCTCTGCTAGAATTGACTATTTTAGACAGTCAATTATATTACAAAAAGAACATAGGAACCAACTCTATATTGTACACTTTACTGAAAGAAAATACTTATCCTAATTGTTTTTTTGCAAAAGTATAATAACTATCATAACTTTTAAATAATTCTGATTTTAGTCCTTGGTTCAAAATTTAGTGAGAGATTTAGCGCTAAATGTTACTTGTATTTATTATTACTAAAATCTTTATTAAAGCTTAGGTTTCATCACTGTTGAAAGAATGTAGAAAATAACTAGATATTAAAATAAATGGCTAAAAGTAGTAGACTCATTAAAAAGAATATGCTTATTTCTCAAAGATCTTTTCAACCAAATTTTCAAATAGCAATATATTTCAGTAGCATTTCTTTACATGTCATTAAAGAAAAGAGCCACCATTGGTCATATCCACAGTTATCATTTCTTCCATATATATGCCATTATTGAAGCATTTAATAACAATTGGAACCATATGATTCATACATATGCATGTATACATATATAAAATTGCAACTAATTTATTAGGGTCATTTCCTTAGCTGAATTTTAATCATTGTAATAAATTACTGTTATACTCTCTGATAGATTTTTATGCTGTGATTTCATGTGAAGTTAATTTGCATTTCTAAAGAGTTACAACAATAACAATTGTAAGTTAAAAATTATTTAACTTAGATTCAGTAACTAATCAAGAACATTTAGCAACACAGGAAAGAAATCCTCTCTGACCAGTAGCTTAGCATATCTCCTTTCTCAAAGAATTTTAGTAAGAGCTGGCCAGTTTTCACTTTCTTCATTACTTCTGACAGCCACCTCATCATTTTTTGCCTGCATACTGAAAAGTTATCTTAACCATCTCTTTGAAAGAAAACACTTAAGTAACTCCATAATATAAAGAATATTAACTCTATGTTTGAAAATAAATTATTTAGAGCAGTTTAATCTTTGTAAGAGCAGATAGGACAATGTGCAGAGAATTCATGGTACAAACATAAACATGGGAATAACAAAGGCAATTGTGTAAGTAAAGATAAGAGGAAAGAGAAAAAATCAACTGTATTTACCAACATGTGTGGTAGGGTGTGTAGGATCAAAATTCAGGGAGAAACTATTCCTAGGAAGCATCTAAAATTTTTACTTGAGTTAATTTTTTATTAGAATAACTGATTATTTTCAAACTGGCTTCTTAGATTTCAGTCCACTTCCACAATTTTCAATGCTTTCCATGTTCTCACACTGTTTTAATTTTTTTTTTTAGTATCCATACTTTTAGGTCTCAATGATTTTATATAATTTACAATTTTAAGAGTTGATAGATCTTAATGAAGTTACAAAGGACATTGCTACTTCTGACTCCCAGAACCTCTTGCCTCCATTCCTACAAGTTACTTAAAGCCACCTGTTTCAACAATATTCCTGTCTCCTTTCTACACATGAGTTCCTTCCCAATCAAGATTAGATTCATTAAATCAAAGATAGCATCTTATCAAGCCATTATCAAAATATTCTTATGGCTCTTCATTTCTTATGAAATATAAAGAGTAGGGAATGAAGTCCCATTTCTAACTAAGTTCTACTACCCTAGAGAATCTTGCTGATATTCCTATCTCCAAAGCAAAGGATTCTCTTGTGATAAAGTGCTTTTTTATGTACTGCAGGCACTTTAGAAATAGCTCTCAGATCAAACTAAATGAGTTCCAGTGTAAATAAAGAACCGAGATATTGCAGACAGCACTCAGGAAGATATTGGTGTGACAGCTAGAAAGATGCCATGTGATCCTCCGCAATTGATGTTTTGTATTGAGTGAAGGATCCAATAAAATGAGTTCTATCATGGAACTTGTGTGTTCAATGAACTCTGTATTAAACTTAAATATGAGCTTTCATTGCTGCTTTAGTGAAAGGGAAATAGATAAAAAACTATAACTGAAATGGTAACTTGATCCAGATTCAGGCCTCAAAATAACTGTTCAATATGCAATTTATATTCTCATCAAAGTGAAAAAAGAAAAAGTATTTATGTTATATATCTTGCCTTACTGTAACATTATTTCAAATAAAATGAAACATGACTTATTTATTATAAAACCTCTGGCACATTTTACAGTTGGATTCATTTTCTAACACAAAACTGTAGTTCATTAAATTATACTTGTTTCATATAAGCCACCCTGAATATTCACTGTTAACCTAAAGAGATTGAAGGACAAGGGATTTATTTAAACTACATTCTATTGCACTTGTGGTTTTTCGTTGCTTTAGGAAAAGCTGCAGAATGTGGTCAGTTAGATAGGAAGGAAGGAAAACCACCTCAAGATAATATGTTACGTTTTATCTATAGCCTGGGTATTTGATCACAAATTCTAGTCAGTTGTGGCTTCTAATCTCTTCATCTGACTGAAGTGAGTGACAACTGCTCATTGATATTTAATTGTCATCCATTTGGATATTGGTTAGTGACACAGATAATCAATCATATAATCTTCAGGTCATAAATGACTCAGTGTCCACTGTCTGTCTTGCACTCAATGTGAAGATGGTGGTGTTTTTGACACAAACTCAACAGTGAAGCTCTCTTGTCACCAACAAGAGAACCAAAACAACAGACAACTGTTGGACAAGCATATTAATACAGAGCAGAAGCCACTTTCCTTGTACCTGTGACAGAATGGTTCAAGTTTTGTCCTGCATAACTATTTAGAATATATAGAATTCCTATTTTACTTGATGGCCCTTCAAATATTGAAGGAAGTTATCATTACCCTTCAAGAATATGAAGCACCTTTCAAACTCTACACCACCACTTTATTAAACACACAATGGCACTGGCATTCTCCACATGTCATGTTTGCAGACACTTCGCTATTCTGGTCACCTTCTTTTGGATGCACTTCAATTTGTCAGTGTCTCCTTTTTAAAATATATCTACCACACTATGACATTTCTGAAGGTTCTAGCAGAAATAGAACAACTTGAGAATAATAGTAAATTTTTCTGTTTTATGAAGAATGACAAGGGCTAAACTTAAAATTTTCCATTTCCCAAAGAGGACCAGAAGGAGAAAAAAAAAATCAAACATCAGCATATGTGTTATAAATTCAACTCTTTGCCTGGTGGTGTTACAGGGTCATCAGGATGATGCTAAAGAGAGGAAAAGGAAAAGGGAGAGGGAGAGGGAGAGGGAGAGAGAGA